CTAGCAGAGGTGGGCTCATGAGTATCCTAAGCTTCACTAGGCACAGTGAGCGTTGCACCTAAGATCTTTGACCTCCAATCAATCCATGGCTCATGACCTTCGAGCTAAGCCATACCAAGAATAAGATCATACCTTTCATCCAAGTCACGGAATAGACAGCGTTCACTACTGTCAAAGTCCAAAAACTTAACGTTTGAGCTTACAGGAATTCCAAGCATAGTGACTAATGCACCTGTCTCCAAGCAAATGTGATAGTCTCATTCTTTCGCGCTTTCAGCGCCTCAGCATACTGCTGAATTCCTCTCAGGAAACAACGTCGGACAGAAATTTCCGACGCCCCGGAGTCGATCAATATCGACCATGGCTATTCAAACTCCTTTACTGTTGCTTTCTAAGCTAAAAATCCTGTCTTGTACGCATGCTTCGTGACATTGTGCGCATAGCCACTTGGGGATAGGCCCTGATCTGCATCACCTCCCAGAGGCACAACAGATCCTAAATCCTACCCAGTAGGGCGCCCCGCGCCTACTGGGACTCGACGTTTCCTGCGCCTTACCAGCTCGTTGATTAGTAACGGGAGGTCGGCTCAAATGAGTTTTTCTAGTCCTCTAAAGGACAAAGTGAGGCGAAGGTGTTTGATGCTTCCGCACGTAGAACATCTACGGACGCTCGAACGCTATTCAACGGCGTAGAGCTCAGCTTCTTCGTCTCTCTCAGCGATACTAAGGGTTTATGGGCTCTGCCCCATCCATTAAATGAGCATTTCTCAACAATTTTTTGATAGTTCCAGGCCCACCTTCTGCTGCCCTGACCGCAGCAGGACCGAGCTGTTGGCAACCTCCATCTCTCGAGCCCACAAGTGAGTTTTTCTTCCGCTTCCCCTCAAACGTCTTGACACTTAAGAACAGAGAACGAGTCCTTGACTCAGTGTCCGGTATTGGAAATTACTGAGTGGGCATGGCAGATGCGAAATGGTCATAAACCTGTTCAATCAACGTGAGTTCAAAGTTTGGGAAGGCCTCGAGGCGTGCACGGAATGCATTCGAACCTTGTGCCGATATAAGAGCTTCTTGATCGTGCCCGATCAACACCGTAAGATTCTGAAGTGTGATCTGCTGGGCCTCAGAGAGGATTATTGCCGTCTCCATCCTCGTAGAGGATCAAGTTTTTGAAAACGCAGGTGTAGATTGACTACAAGTGGTACCAAGTGCAGCGAATCTACTTAGCGCTCCTTAGCAGAGGAAGTATTGGACTCAAAGAGTCTTTTGGTTATAACAAACTTACAATGACGTACAGTCGTTCAAGCGCACAGGCTTAACAATATACCGGTTCCGAACGGATTACGATTTACAGAATCACACGCTAACTAGTCACTACTAGTTAAACAAGAGTAAGCGCCTTTACAAGGCAATGCTCTTAACAACACACTACGCCTTTACTAGGCACTTGTGTCCAACGGTTCAAAAGGGTAACTGTACTTTATTTATTCTTTAGCTACGGCAAATAAAACCCTGAAACCTTGTCTGACTGACTTCTACGTTGTGATGCTATGACAGAAGTCTTATCCGTTATCCCTACCCGATAAGGTACAGTATTACCGCAAGTACGTGGTACCACGACTGTGCCACTCAGATCCACCGAGCTTTACTTGATGTAGACACACAACATAACCGGTTCGAATAACCGCGTGTAATCACGTTACACTGGTGGTGTGGATCGAGATTTTGCGTGGCATCTTTTAGCGTCCCGCTACAGTTGTCCTCCTCTATGACCGCCTCTCCCGCTATAAAGAAGATGAGAACACAATTCATGACAGGTACTGAAACACCTCGTATTTATTGCAATATCCGTGCCCTAAGCTTTTTTTATTGACTCTGCACCTTGATGGGGGGATCAAGATACCTTTCGAGTAGAGCCTGTTGCGGGCGATATCCTCAGGCGTGGTGGCATCAGAGCCGATGCGCCACCCCACTAACACCGCCGACCAGCTGCCAGAATCGTTCTTTCACGCCGGTTGGCGTAAATAGTTAGTTTGTGTCGCCACGGAGTGTGGTCATGCTCCCTCATCAACGCTTGGGATCCTTCTCCTTTCGAGCACTTACTGCTGTTGCTCACCGAGCGGTTCGTGATAAACTATGTTGTATTTAAGTCTGGCGTCATATTCAGCGCAGTTAGCGTGTTGGAAACCTCACGTCTAAAGAATTTGGTACGTGTAGTGTAACGGGGCACCCTGAAGCTTGTACTGATGACAGTACAAGCTACTTATTCTGATGACAGAATAAGGCGGTGCCTCGTGACTTCACGTACACTCGTACGTGCAGAGGAAGACGGTAAGAAGAAGCGAGTACTTGGTTAAAGTGAAAAGTAGAACTGTATTTATCATAGTTAATGTCTGCAATAAATCACTATTTATCTTCATCTAACTATGTCTAAATACAAATGTGTAAATCAGTTATCTGCTCACCACTCATTGCGTGCGTCTGTCGTGGCGCGTCTTCGTTGGTTGATATAATGGCCTATATCAACGAATTAGGAACAACTCGTAAGTGCTACAGAATATTTGTCCTTATGATAATATTCTGAGAATATAACTCTTATAGTTATATTCTATTAACAATTTCTTATAAATTGTTATGTAACGATTCACCCCGTTACATCACCCCCCCCAACCATCAGTCACTTTAGTGACTGATTGAATAAATGGATACTTGTACCAAATCATTTGGGACAGGGTTTGCACTTGTTGGTCCGAGTCCACTTTCCAACAATTCATCGCATGGTTAACAAGCCCATGCGATGCGCGAGCAAGGCCGCTGAGAGCGCGTCCGCACGTCTCTGTGCGGACGCCGAAGCAGAAACCACAGCAACTGATGTCTCATCGGTTGCTGAAGCGACTCAGCCTGTGTCACTTGGTGATGCAGGCGCTAGTCATGAAGACACTCATGTCTTCACAGAGTATGAGCTCGGTGTCTCATACTCTCCTGATACGGAAGACGGATCCGTATCGACGGCGATTGAATCCAAGCCGCCTGCCAAGCGTGGCATGGACGATGCTTTGCGTCGTAGCATCTTCGGTTCATCTGATGAATCAGATGAACCATCGCCGAAGTGAAGGCGCTCGAGGTCGCGAGACTCGGGCGCTAACAGTGGTGTCGGTTCTCCTATGGACACCACTCCACAGCGAGGTGCCAGTACTTCTGTCGGCACATCGCAGGAAGAGCGGGACCGCAATGTGTTGCGTCTCGCTCCTGAAAAGAAGGCATGGATGCCTCCAAAATCCGTCATGGATCACTTGTCGGCGACGACGAGCGATCGTTATCGAACACGATTGTTCGATTCGTCAAGGATCCATCACCTTGACCCCAGCGCGAAAAACTATCGCGCTGAACATGAATTCTTCATCGATGCTTTCTTCAAACATCGATGGTACAGTGGGAATCACAAACGTGATGGCCCCTCACTGCTTCAAGCGTGGAACGCTTACATCCGTAACCTTGAGGATGTAGGTCGTGACGCTTGGAACGACAAACTTATCAAAGCTCGTGATAAGTTTAAAAAGCGAACCCCAACAGGTGCACGCTATAAGCTGCATCGTCTATCAAGGGAGAAAGGATTACCCTGCCTCTTTTGGGGAGACTCGTGCCCATGTTGTGTGAACAACTCTGCACGAGCACCTAAGGAGGCTTACTTCCTTACTAGCCCGTGGTGGCGCGTACGTATCTCTACTGAGATGTACGAAGGGATAGACAACCTGAAATCCCTTTACGACCGTGCCGGGAAGACTTTATCCGGTGGTCCTTCTGCGGCACAGGATGTGCCGCGTCGTACTGCTCAACCAGACCCAGTACGTCAACCATCAGTTGGGAGCGGGGCTCCCAAGTATCCCAGGACGGGGGATAGCCGCGCCACCGGACGAGACAACTCGTCCGACGTCCGTTCACGTCGCGGTGGTTCAACAGCTGCTCAACTAGATAGCGCTGGCCACCGCGAGAGTCCTCTAATGGAGGTGGAGGAGGAGAAAAGACGCTCTCCACACGATCATGTGGATCGGTGTGTTCTCGAGAGCTTCTTTGATCGCGTAACGCAAGGGTTACGCGACGATCTCGAACATGAGCGGAATAGGCGTCTCCAAATGGCGGACACTGCCTCGAAGCATCGAGCTGAGTTTGCCTTTGCTCAGCTTGAGAACGAGAGATCTCTGACATCTCTTCGTGACGAGCTAAGGGTAGCTCGTGGGATTGTTGATCGGTCTCGGGATGAGATAGCTGCTCTTCAGACCCTTGTTGATGCCCACCATCGGGAGCACAAGGCTCTCTGCGAGATGCTTGAGCGCAAGGGCGTTCTTCATCGGAAGAAGCAGCGTACTGATGGTACGGCTTAAGCCGACCAACGTAAAACGTGGGATGCGTTCGCATCTTACGTGGTAACTCGATTGTGTATGCATTGCCTAGGCGGTGCAATACACGAAATGGGCCAATGTACTTGGGTAGTAGTTTACTGCTACCCAAGTTAGTCACTACATGCTTTGGTAGATTAACCGTAGACAGTAGGACTAAGTCACCCTTATTGAATAAAAGAGTGTTTGCCCTTCCATTCTTGTCAGCGTTTTGCTTTTGACTATCCACCGCTTCGGCGATGGAATCTTGCACAAAACGGACTACCGTTTCACGAGCCAGTATGAACTCATCTGCTGGCTCGTTAGCTTCAGTGCGTTGTGAGTGCACTGCAGCAACATCAACCTTTTCTTCAGTGAGGGCTTCCGCACTCTCACTGGCATCATCTTCTTAGTAATCGATGTTATCGATATCGGCATCAAACGCAATGACCTCTTCGTCAGAGCGTGATGAGCGTGAACCAAATCGTTTTTTTGCTCGCGCGAGTCCCTCCCCCCCTTAAACCAGAGTCACACTCTAGTAAGGTGGGTACTCGCGGATGGCGTAAGCCATTCACGTAAAACGGTGTATGTGTCGTGGACGCATGCACCGAGTTGTTAATGGCAAACTCTACCATTGGCAAAAACTCACTCCAACTCTTAAAGGAGTGTACGTATCCTCGAAGTATATCTTCGAGGACACGATTTGCACGTTCCGTCTGACCATCTGACTCTGGATGATCAGATGTAGACATCTTCAAGCGCGTTCCGAGTGATTTGAACACGGAGCTCCGGAAATCAGCAGTGAATCGTGGATCTCTGTCTGATACGAGTTCACGAAGCAACCCATGAAGTCGGAAGATGGTGTCAATAAAGACACAAGCACAGCCACTTGCTGTGATTGACTCTGGTACAGCCACAAGGTGTACCATTTTGCTGAATCTGTCAACAAATACGAGAATACCCGTGTTCCCGCGTGCGTCTTTGGGTAACCCGAAGACAAAATCTATTGAGATGGATTCCCAGCACTCAGCCGGAACCGATAGAGGCTGTAAAGGTGCACGCAGTGAAGGACTTGACTTCACTCGTTGACAGACTTCGCATGCGCAAATGTACATGCGCACAAACTGATACTGGCGGGGCCAGTAAAAGTCTCGACTCACCGTGAGATATGTTTTCTCGGCCACGATATCCTCCTATAGGAGCATCGTGATACTCGAACATGATCCGCAAACGCAGATCAGTATCATCTGGAATGACAACACGTGGTGTGTCACCAGAAACGGCTGTATAATACAGTAAACCGTTACGAGTAGTGTATCGATCTGATGCAGATCGATACGCAGGCGACAATCGTTTCAACGATTCTCGGGATGGTTGGGAGAGATGTGTCAACAACTTCACAATCTCACCAACTTGGGCGTATGCCCGCCTCACATCATCATACAACGTTGTAGATGGGACTGAGGACGTCATAACCGCAGCAGTGACTGTCTCACTGTTGGGTTTCGCGACTGTTTTAAAGTCGGGACGACGTGAGAGTGCATCAGCGACGACATTAAGTCGTCCTGGTTTGTACTCGACCGTAAAGTTATATTCTGCAAAGCATGAAAACCACCGCGCCATTCGTTGTGAAAGGTGCGGGCTGTTCACTGCCGTGCGTAATGACGCATGGTCAGTGTAAACAATGAAGGGTCTATCTCCTAATAGATAGAATATGAACTTCGCGAGTGCATACTTCATGGCAAGGAGTTCCTTGTCATGCACTGGATAGTTCCGCTCAGCTGGTTGCAGCTCACGCGACTGTTAGCAGACGACGCGTTCAACGCCTTCAAAATCGTACTGCATTAATGCACAGCCGATTGCGAAATCGCTGGCACCACAGACCACATGAAATGGCCTGTCCTTATCGGCAATTGCTAGGACTGGGGATTGTATCAAGCTCTGCTTGATACCATCAAAGGAGCGCTGACATTCAGCGTTCCATAACCACCTCTCGTTCTTTTTCAACAAACGAGAGAGGTGCACAGTCATCTCGGCGTAATTGCGTGAATACTTATGCAAATACGCCGCTAGCCCAAGGAATTTTCGAAGACCTTTGACGTCGACTGGCACAGGCCAGTCGGTGATCGCCTTGATCTTTTCGGGATCAGGACGTACACCATTCTTACCAACGATGCACCCAAGAAGTGGTACTTCACTTGCTGCAAATATACACTTCTTGAGGTTTGCATACAATTGATGCTTTCGCATGATCGTAAGAACCTGTCGGACGTGGTACCTGTGGTCCTCAACGGCCGACTTTCCATCCATAGCTCGACTATGGATGAATACGGCATCGAAATAACTCGGCGCGAATTCTCGTACTGGTCTCAACAGATGTGATACACATCTGTTGAACGTGGCAGGAGCATAACTAAGCCCTTGTGGCATTACTAGCCATTCCCAGAGCATGCCGCTAGGCGTGCTAACTGCGGTATAGTGTATATCCCGTTCTGGCATAAGGATTTGATAGAAGCCATCCATCAAATCCATGGACGAAAAGATGGTACTCTTTGACATACCATCAATGATTACGTCCTTCCTCGGTATCGGCGTTTGTGCCGGTACCGTTGCAGCATTCAACTTGTTAAATGCATGCACTATCCGCCACCCTCCTGTTGCTTTTCGCCCACATAAGGTCGGAGAGCTATGTGGAGAAGTTGATTCCCTCACATGGCCCGCAGCTAAACGATCGGCTAAGAACTTGTCGATCGCAAGTACTTGTTCACGAGGCAGTGGCCACTGCTTCATGACACAGTACTTCGAGCCTGGTTTAAGCTCGACCTCGTGTCGAATACCTTTATCCTTCGGTAATCCGCACGGAACAGTTTCAGGGAATACGTCCTTGAATTCAACAAAATCTTTATAGAGAGGATTTTTCTTGAGCGATTCCCATGATCGGGAGTCATATCGCTCAACTCGTGTCTTTTCATCTAGGACACTCTCGGCCATAGATGAACTACTGAGAACTCTCTCGTTCTCAGTAACACTGTTGTTGACCTTATGTCGGTTACACACTCGTCGTCAGCGACGAGTACACAGATCTGCTTGACTTTGCCACTACGCAGATCACGCAAGAACCTTTTATGTTCGAGCGTTGGCAACTGAGTGATCTCCGAAGTCAACTTCGGAGGCGCAATCAGATCAAGTGTATAAGCGCCTACACTTGATCTGTTATTGACTATGACATTCAATGTCTCTGTCATTTCCTGGGGACTTATTCCCTCAGGCTTCGAAGGATTTATTCCTTCGGCTTCCCGGGGACTTATTCCCACGGGTTTCGGGGAACTTATTTTCGCCGTATTTGTAATATCGGGACTTATTCCCTTTACTTCCTCTAGCTGGGGTTGCGCAACCACAGCGAGATCCTCTACGAAAGACTCTCCAGTCGATCTAGGATTATCGTTTCGCTTAACCTGAGCGATCGATTGTTTCTCTTCTGGATGTTCCCCGCTAGGGATACATCTTTGTCCCGGTCCACTCGACTTATTCGAGTGGTGGACCTTCGGCGCAGCCTGTGTTTCCTCACAGCCGCCGGAACTTTGCTCCGAAGTGTAACCGTTTGTTACACTAAGGTTTTGTGCAGTCGTACTAGCGACCGTACCACAAGTGAGGCCATCGCACTCACTCGTAGTACATCCACACGCTTGTGGACGCTCCAAAACGGTCATTAGATGGCCATCTGATGAACAAGCGGC